ATTAAAATCGTTTAAAAGGAACCAGGAAAGTCTGTTGCCTTGAATGTAAAGTACGTCACAACCAAAATATTAATAAAAATATTATTTGAAAACGACAAAACGACGTTATGACATGGGCACGGGGTTGCATTGTGCGCAACGTTTGCAAATTTAGAAATAGTCCATGTTAAAATAATGCCGGTTTTGGAACTATATGGGGTTGCCCCATGCGTATTTCTAGTGTATTTTGTATTTACCTGTTCAATGAGTTGGTCATGTGATTGAGACACTATATTAAAAGATATTAAAAGCATCAAAGATATTATATAGTCAAATATACAGAATCTAGTTTACTATTATCTCAGTGGAACCTCTGTTACAAACGTCCCAAAGTGACCGCACCAACGAACGTGTATATAAGGAAGTGAATACATGGAGTGAATCGTATGTTTTCAGACTGGGCTAAACAAGTCAGACCGGTAATATTTCAGAACTTTGTTCTTTCAATCACAAGTAGTGCAACTCGTAATGTGTATTATCTGGAGCCTATATTTAATATATAAATTTATTATATAAGTGTTATATAGAGTTTTTGTCCACTGAGAAAAATCGTATTTAAACACACGTAAAAATACGATTTTTTACGTGTGAAAATATCATTTTTGCAAGCCAATCGTAAGGCGCGTAGGAAATAAGTTTGACCAATCAGAGAACTTGTTTTAAAACGCATTGCCACGGATGTTTTATTGTTTTTCAATTATCGCTTTTCAATTATCGCTTTTCTGTAGAAATTATCGCTTTTCAAAGACTGTCCTTTATTTCAACACTCGAAATAAATCTGGTATTTCCCACGCATTATTCTCTATATATTGTGCGGCTTCAGGGCCCCCCCCCCCCCCCCCAATATTTTATAACGGGAGTTCGGGATAGCTTTCGGCCCCCCAAAAATTATTGGATTTAAGAAATAATAAAAAATTACTGCGAAATTCTTGAAACTGCAAGTATTTGAAACCATATAATTATATACTACTGTATATCAATAATACATATCTGTAATTGTTTATTGTTATTTTAATAACAACATTTTTGTTTGTCTTTTGTCATTGGATGTTTTTGGTCTATGCTGCTTGATAGGCAGCGGTATTTACTGTACGTGCTCAACATCTAACGCAGTCGCAAACCATAAAGCAAACATATTTATAGCTTAAAAATCATGACAGAAATTGAAATAGCTTAACGAAAGTGCTAGAGAAAACCATAAAAATGCCATTTCCGACGATCTGGAGACTCCGAATTTTCAAATATTTTCGCGCTCCAAGCCATGAAGCATGGTGGCGCCTCGTGGGAGTCGCCCCCCCCCCCCCCCCC